CCCGAGAAAAGGTGCCTGACAGACCAATAAAATAAACCGAACCCTACGGGACAAGGTTCAAATATTTCGGATTTACAACGACGACCCGCTGTAACGACATTTTTTTACCGTTTGCTTTACCGGTTAGAACCGGTAAAGTAAAAAAAAGGGAAATAGTTTTATTGCTGTACTTTAGCCGGAGACCCAAGGTGGTCTCCAACTGCCTTCCGTCGACTTGCCCTTTTTTCAAGGCCCTAGAGCAACGTCTTCGGAAGTGGGGGCAGGTTGGGGGTGAAGCCAATCAGGCTCCAAAAATTGGCCGCACAAAATTGACTCCACCCCGAGCAAGTCAACCTGCAACCCAAAATTTGTCGAGACAGTCAGTCTTGTCGGTAACTCTCACGAGAGATGGTCAATCACTCTCACGCACAACTGTAAACCCCTGGACCTTCTTCAAATAAACTGTGTTGCCTTGCGTTTTCAACCTAGTTTAAACCTTTTTTACAAATCAACTTCACCGCCATTAAGTTGACGTTGGAGGCGCAGCATTTGGAGGAGCAACCTTCAGTCTGCGCACCGTACGATACATTCGTGCGGCTCTAACAGAAGCTTTGCTATTAATATAATACGTTCACATAATCTTCTATCTTGTCAGTGCTCATGTAATTGATCAAAATAACAGAATTTACAACCACCAATAAAAGGAGACAACATTCTGAAAAATTGACCTATTAGATAACTTTTGAATAATTATTAGTGCAAACATTTTTTGTTGCGACATATAAAAATATTAGTAAAAATAGCATCTTAACTTGATGAAATGTTACTCTAACAGTTTTGTTCAAGTAGTGCCACAAACATTTTTTTTCAGAAAAAGTTTCATGTGACCTTGAGGGAGTTAGCTATACTTTTCCTCCAGATTTTATGATTATAAATCTCACTATACGGTGCGTGCTATGTTCGCATACCGATCTTTCTTCTACAAACTTGCCTTATCGCTCTTTTCAAATGGCGCCTTTGAAGTGCTCGGATCGTCGTGAGCACGCCTCTCACGTTCTCGTCAAAACCCGCTGACATTTCTTGTATATCTTAGTAATTTTACTATATTTTGATTTGATTTCTTGCGCCATTTCAAGAGAAAACTTCAGGGAAACATGCATGTCTTAAAAGGTTGCGCTGAAATAACTCAATTCCCCGTAATCACTAATAAACTTTAATGTCCCACGAGAGGGGACATCCGAGTGATATGCTAGAATTACGATGTCCCACGAGAGGGGACAGCGGAGTGCAAAAGGTTAAAGCTGAAATGAGAGAGCTAGAGAGACTGTAGTATGCACATTTTTTAGCCGTGTTACGAAATTATCACTAGATTCACTTATTTTTTAAATACATATGTTGGTTTTTAGTTACGTAATGAAATATATGTAAATAGTAACTCCTCCTCTGCGGTGACCGTTTCATTTCGCATTGTCGAATGTAGTATACATATTTTTACGATTATTTAAACACGCGACATTTATGGCTTACATGAAGAAAGTTCTTATCAGAATTCTGAAATCACCTGACACATAAACATCCATGTTCAATCTTGTCAATTTATTAGTTAGCTGAGACCAAAAAAGCCTTATCTAACCACATCTTTCATCATTCCGATGCATTTTTAGCGAATAAAAATAAAGTCAATTTTTTGGAATAAAAATTTGGTCCACCAAGGTAATTTCGATATTTACTTGTAAAAGGTATATTCCAACTGATATTTATTTTACATCTAATTGTAGGGTTGCTATTACGGGAAAAAGTAAAAAAAATTTTCTTTTCCTAAAAGAACTAATAGAAATAAGGGAAAAACTAATGAAAATAAGGGAATCAGATAATGAATCGGATACAACGGATATGGAACTATACATATGATAACGAAATTGAAATAGAGGAGGGAGCAAAAAAATGTCTAATTCTGAAACCGAAACTAAAGACGAAGTTTTTCGTTATATAGTATAAAAAATGTTTTCAATGTTTGGCGGCGGGTCGAAGTGTCGTGGGTTCGTGGTCATCGGAAAGGAGAGGGGAGACGTTTCGTCCGGGGCCCGCTAGAGGACTCATCAGTAAGGCTATTGTGGCGGTTTGCTTGGTATTATGTTCTCTTAAACTGGATTCTCTGAGAACTGGGGACGATGGCTTTTCGGTAATAAAGGAAACAGTTAATTTGGCTTAACTTGTAACGTGATTTTATTTAACTTTATGCGTACGTCCTTAGACTGTTTGTACGTCTTTACTCCTATTAGACTGTGCGTCTACTCTCTTGGGAGGTAGCTATTAGACTGATGGAGAGTCCAGTGGTTCGCGTAGCAACAGCTAGTTACTAGTTGTAGGTGGCGCTGTGTGCCGCTTGTACGGGCGCACGCCACACTATCCTAGCGGGCCCTTGCCTTAGACGTGGGGGTAGTAAGGACGAAGTCTCTCTATATATAGGGATCGAGGCGGATCGGTTACTAGCCGGAAGAGGAGCCCTCTGCTGGCGGTACGATTGTTTCTTTGTGTTATTTGAGATATTTATGCGGATGTATTTGCAGCTAGTTAGAAATCGCATTCAGCATAGAAAAACTAAAATTTCTTGCAAGTTCTCGGAACGTTTCCTGAATTATTGTTACTAGTAATTCATTTCTTTTTTAGTACATCTGTATTTTTTCTATTTTGTATTTGTCCTACAAGTCAAGATCACCTTGACTGTTTTAAATGCCGTCCTGCATATCATTGACTTGTGTAGTAGAAAAATAATAGTTTTTGATATTTGGTATAACTGAGACTTCTCAGTAAACTTACTACTTATGTGCGTCAAAAGATGTTAATAAACATAGTTAATGTTAATAGATTACTTTATAGTTTAAAGATATTCGGAGAAAACTGGTTGTGCCAATATACTTTTTTGACCCACTGTACATCGTTTGGACATTACGCACGCATTAATTGCGTTAGAAACTGTAACGCATTCCACATTTATGTATGTATTTTCTCTAATTATTTAATAATTTGCGTAAACATAGCGACGTGAAATCTCAATGCTACAGATTATTAGATTCGCTGCTCTACTAGTCCATTGTATTTCAGTAACTAGTGCGTCCAGATTAACTGTGGCATTAAATCGTAATGCATTTCCGAGCGAGGATTACAATCGTAAATCTAATTAGGCGTGCACTTGCGTGACAGCGTGGAAATTTGATACAACGAAAGACGGAATCGATTCTATAAATAACTGCAGTGTTCTGTACTTTCTTGATTCCATTAATAGTGGGAGAATGCATCACGCGATCTTCTCTCACCCTGCACAATGCTGTATTTGTTGCTGTATCGGGTACTATGTTGAACTGGAAATTGAATTTGTAACAGGAAAAATGGATAGCAAAATGTATTTGGAAATAATTAACTCAAGGTAAGGAGACTGTGACAATGATAACATATCGCGATAATTTTACAAAAACAATAACCTGCAAGGGAAAACAACAAATCAAACGGGAAATTGTTCTTGAATACGATCAGCGGATGGGCGGTGTTGATTTGAAAGATCATGTACTCCATAGCTATATGATCGAAAAGAAGCGTTTACAGAAATGGTATTAAAAGTGATTTCGTCACTTCTGCGTGCGTGTGCGAGCGTACGCGCGCGTATATGTGTGTATACATTTAAAACAGTCACCTCTCATTGTTCAGTGTTTTCCGTTAATAACTCGTAAACAAAGCCGCAGGTCGCATTTTTGCTAAGGAAAAAGTTACTTCAAATGACCTCAGCTACCCCTCATTTTCGGCTGTTAAAATAATTGTGGAACACTCTGTATATATATGCTATAGTATATATATTATATATTATATTATATTATATATTATATATTATATTATATTATATATTATATATTATATATTATATTATATTATATTATATTATATTATATATTATATATTATATTATATTATAT